CTGAAAAGTACCTGAAGTTTGTTTCCAATCACCTCCAACTAGTCTGTGGGTGAGCTTTGACACAATTATTTTGGCAAATGTAGAAACTTAAATTCTTACTTAAAGCTATCAAAGAAAATGAATTGAAGTGTATTGCTCCTTCATTCTTTATAGACAATGCAAAGCCATGCTGCTGTATTCCGTACAGGCCCTGTCTTAGGAGAAGGCTGTGAAAAAATGTCCAGACTTTATAAAGATTTGGATGATCTGAAAACATTTGATAGAGGTATTGTTTCAATACAGACTTCATAAAAGTGTGAAAATTCATAAATTCTTTTATCCAATTAACCTAAATATATCTGCATCATAATTTTATTTAAACAAATCAGACTGGGTCAATTGATCTGCAGAAAAGTAAGTTAAAAATGGGATCTGGGATCTGAACTTTCCTAAGCAAATAGGTTGTTAGATGAAACAGCATGTGACTACACAGCTTACTAACAGCAGTTACAGCAATTCTCGCTGTGGTTGTTAAATCAGGACCAGGATGATGATGATGATGATGATGATGATGATGATGATTGATTTATATGCCGCCCTTCTCCGGAGACTCAGAACGGCTTACAATGTGTTAAGCAATAGCCTTCATACTTTTGTATATTTATACAAAGTCAGTTTATTGCCCCCATAATCTGGGTCCTCATTTTACCTACCTTAGAAAGGATGGAAGGCTGAGTCAACCTTGAGCCTGGTGAGATTTGAACTTGCAGTAATTGCAGTCAGCAGATGTAAGTGGATGTTAATAACAGTGCTTTAGTCTGCTGAGCCACCACAGCTCAGTTTTATTAAATTAAATATTAAATATTAATTTATTGTTAAATGTAGTCTTCATGCTATTCCTGCCCTACATACGCACCACTACGTCAACTCTTCACAGCTTCTCTCCCCACTATTTCTGTCATTTTGGCTCCGTTGCACTCTGCCATCTATCCAAATTGTATTCTATCACCATCACTTACTTGATATTACCCCTGCCACCTGCAACTATCATATTCTTTTTCCTTGGCATGCAGTCTCTGTTGATGCTGGGCTTGCCACTGCTACCTCAGGTGGGCTCCTGATGGGTGTGCCCCACTTTAGTTGTTCCAGCATGCTGGACGATCCCATGTGTGCACACCCTATCTGCCTATCAGGATTCCACCAGATGCAATTCACTGCCTCCTCCTAGCTTCCAGCTATGGTGCTGCAAAGCAGCTGTTCATTCAACAGCATGGTGGTGCCTTATGAGATGCAAGAAAAACAAAGTAAGTGCAGTCTGCCAGTCATGACCTGGAGCAATCATAGCCCAGGCAGCGGTCCCTTGCTCAGCTTAGGTTATGCCTCTCTCCTGTCCTGATGTGCCTGTCTGGCTTGTGACAGGACTGCTGTGATCCCCATCCTTATTCCCATCCTACCTCTGTGTCTGCCTTCTCCATTTGTGTTGTGTTGCTAAAGAAGAAAGTCAGCAATGAATACAAAGGTTTGTTTACAAGACACATGTTTAAGGACAGCCCTCTCTGCTGCAAGCTGATTAGGAGACTTTCAGCCAGAGAGGTGACAGCAGGCGGGGCAGAGGCAAGCATGTATGTAGGACCCCCGGCCCTCAGTGGCTGAGACTGCTGAAATGGGGCCTGCAGCAGAAAGGGCTGTGTTTAATGCAATGATGTATTTTTTTTCCTTATCTCAAACTTTTTTAGCATATAATTTTTATTGAAAGTTTCAAAAACAATAGTAAGAAATAATGCAAACTCTCAAATAGAATGAAAGGAAAGAGAGAAAGAAATTCAAAACTAAAAATGGAAAAAGGTAGAAGAAAAGGAAAAAGGAAAAATGTAAAGATATAAAGAAGTAGCTTCTAATCTTCACAACAGTTAATAAGTACAATTACATTTTAGCCTCTCTAACATGATGTCATGACTCTCTTCTTTCTATAATCTATTCTATCTAATCATCAAAATTGTAAATCTTAAATTCATTTTTTCTTTTTTATCCAAAAAGTCCATAAGGGATTTTCAGTCACCACTAAACGTAGATATTGTCTTTTCTTTAACCAAACAACTCAGGTTAGCCATTTCAGCAAGTTCTGTCATCTCCACCAAATGTTCCTCCATATTTCCCATCATTCCCATTTGTATATTAGAATCAATGCTTTTAGTCCACTGTATCATATATTCAACCTTTTCATATTGTTTCAAATTGGAATAAACTACACATTTTAGCAATTATATTTTATCCTTGCTCCAGATATCTTAATAAACAAAACTTTTTACAGTATACATTGCTGATTTCCTTCTTTAAGAACAAAAATGAAAAAGGCAGAGGCAGAGATGGGACAAGGACTGGGTGAGGAAGCACACCACCCCTGTCACCAATAAAGCAGAATATTCGTATCTCAAGGTTGAAATGAGGGATCCTTGGTGCTCTTTGAGTTTGGTTGTTTTCTTGCAGACATCTCATTACCCAAACTAGGTAATACTATTAATGCTCATGATGATGTTACCTAGTTTGAGTAATGAAATGTCTACAAGAAAACAATCAAGCTCAGAGAGCACCAAGGATCCCTGTTACAAGTCAGGGAGGAGCATCTGTAGAGGAGATGAGTATAACCTACTCATCAGGGCTTTGCTAGCTGGGATGTGGCTGTTTCAGGTCACAGTCTGCAGCTTGCAACTCTCTCACTTTTGCATACCTCCCAAGAGGAGCAACCCCTTATAAAAAAACAGCTGTTTTGCAACACCACAGCCAGGAGGTGTCAGTGAGTTACATCAAGGCCCAGCACACAAAAGTGATATGCACTTGGAAATGTGTAGCAGAAAACCTAGCATCTGGGATGGCAGTGGCAAGCCCAGTGCTGACACTGCTGTCACTTTGAGGAAGAAGAGATATATGACAAAGGTCAGCTGGGCAGGGCAGTAGATAAGTAGTGGTAGTGTACAAGATGGCCAAAAGGGAAGAGATGAGGTGATATAGGTGGGGATCACAAAGGCCTTATAAATTATGGCAGATTGTGAAGTTCAGCTGGGGCAATGGAGAGTGATAGGTAGGTGGCTGAATGCAGGGTGGCCAAAATGGCAGAGATGGAAGGATATAGCAGAGGGAGGGAGTTGAAATGTATCCTTGGCAGCCCATCTCCATTTATGACCGTATTGTATGTTTCAAATTGGGTCCAGTCATGTGATTACTTGCATTATGATTGTCATGACTTATTGCCGGACTTCATTACAGTTGTAAGATGTAGACTACCTATGCATTACAGTCTTAGCACAGTAACCTTAAATTACAGGAAACAGATTCTGGTTGAAAGTTTAGAAAAATAGTGGGACCAATTACTAAAAAAGTATGATAGGTTTGCCTTTGTTACAGATATTCAGACAGAAGTTAAGCATCCAACTGCTCATGTTGCTTTAATTTAGATTCCCCCACTGATCAGGGTTGAAATCAGTGACTTAAATATGTAAATCAGCAAAACTATAGAAATGAAATCTTTGAGGCAATCTACACAGCTGCAATTTTGTTTTCCTTGCCTGCTGGGGCTTTTCAGGCACTGACATAACTTGTTTCTATACTATTGAAAATGTCATTTGGAAAGCTGCTCAGCTTTTGGAGATTTTTTTTTTTTGGTTTTCTTTTTTGCAATCTAGCCATCCCCCTCAACTTATGTATGAGAAATTCACAATTCATTTCCTTACTCAGAAGTATATCTTGTGTTCAACATTTATTGTTAAATATATTTATCAAGCTGCATTTGAGTCTTAAAGAAGTATTAAGCTTATTTCTGTTTCTGTGATAGTACCATTAAATTATACCGAAGGAAGAATCTAGTGAGTCTGCTGAAGTTCTTTCTTCCTATAATTTCTAAAACTGCTCCATACTTCTTGTTGTACTTGTAGGTGTTGTTTGGAATACTGACTTGGTAGAGACTTTGGAACTACAAAATCTCATGCTGTGTGCTTTACAAACTATTTATGGAGCAGAAGCTCGAAAAGAGTCACGTGGAGCTCATGCTAGGGAGGACTATAAGGTACATATTTATTTAGAAGTAATTTCTTCAACTGCTATCATAAATACTCTTAGTGTAGGCAAGATAAGGTTTGTACTTTTTATAGAGCTGTCAAAGCCTATTTCTCTGTCAAAGAAGCTTTACTTATATTGCATTTAATATCTTAAGAATGTGTGCAAACAGGCCATTTTCTGTCACTGAAATTATAAAATACATAATGTCATTATCTTGATCACTTTCTTAGAAGGGATTCTTTTGCAAAATGGTACAGACCACCAACAAGAAGAATGTGGTTTTCTTCCATGTTTTCCCAAGGAGGCATTTATTATAGAAAAAGTCTGTCTGTTTGTCTGTCTGTCTGTCTATCCCATCCATCCATCCTGTACCAAAGGTACCATTGCTACTTTGAAGTTACATTGGTTTCTGTTGCTGCTACATGCATTTCCTTGCCCAGTTTTTCCTCCCTCTCTATTGAGAGGTGAAGGGAAGATGCTTCACCAGCTGCTTTAGTTGGAACAGCTTACATTAGCAATAGCACTTAGATTTACATACCGTCCCCATAGTGCTTTACAGCAGTCCCTGGAAGTTTACAGTGTGACTGTAATGGAGCCTGATCCATCCTCATATTGCCCCCAACAATCTGGATCCTCATTTTCTGACCTCAGAAGAATAGAAGGCAGAGTCAACCTTGAACCCTGTCAAGATCAAACTCCAGGCTGTGGAAAAGCTTGCCTGCAATACTGCATTCTAACCACTGTACCACCAGGACTTCTACATCCTGTGATAATACAAATAGTCCTCGTAATGTGACTATAATGGAGCCTGATCCAGTCCTCCCAGGGCTTTCTGCATCTCCGAGACATCCTCATGCTCTGCTTCCTTCCTCTTGGGTCTCCATAGGTCTTTTCCCATGACTACCAGGTTCCCTAAGTCTTAAGCTTGATTCCTACCCCATCAGGCCAAATATTCTCCTCCATCTTACCTTTGAAGCAATGGAACAGGTTGCTTTGTCACTCATGATTCCTGAATCTTGCAGCTCTGAGGAATCCCATTAAGGCAGCAAAATGGAGTGGTTTGTCCCCCATACATGTCTACAAGCAAATGGAGGCAAAATTGAGCTGCTTCTGTGTTGGCCTTAGAAACCCTTACATTTTGCTGCATTAATGAGGTTGCACAATGCAGCAGAGAACTTCTGAAAATAGTAGAAAGCTTCTATAGAGCTATGCAATCTGTATTAAGGCAGCAAACTAGAGCAATTTGTCCCTGGGACACAGTGGTGACCCCAAAACAGCTGCCATTTTGTCCCCACCCATTTCTGGATGGGGATGAAATGGCAGTCACAAAAGAAACTCCCACTTTGCTGTCTTAATGAGATTGCACAGCAATCATGCCATGCAGCAAAACCTGTTGCAGCACTATTAAAGGCTTTGGAGCTCTTCAAAAGGTAAGTGAGGAGGAGTGTGTAGGCCTGAAGGAGTGGGAATGGGTCTAAGGTTTGCTAGGAATTGTTTGGGGAAGCAAATACTTGCAAGGACTGAGGAGAGGGAAGATAAGTGGGAAAGCACTTCAGCATCGCTGTGATCAGTCATAAGGGTAAATGGCAGTGCTGCAGTGGCATTTAGAGAGTCCGCCATAATTCCAAACATCTGTTAAGCAACAATTGTAAGTCAAGGACTACCTGTATCTTAATATCATCAAACAACAACCTCTGCCTATGTCATAATAATAATAGAAAGCAAAGATAACACCAATTATCTTTGGTAATAGGCACCTTGGGGCAATCCCAAAATATCTGGAGCATCACTTGAACATCACCAGCATTGACAAAATCACTATCAGCCAATTGCAAAAGATTGCTTTACTTGGAATAGCTTACATCCTGTGTTGATACCTTTAACACGATAAAATAACATCATTTGCCTATCCCAATCCTTGGGAAGCACTTGATAGGTGGATAAAAATCACAAATCCAGTCTACATACCCTACTTACTGTGCACTCAACCATAATAATGAATCATTTTCATTACATTGCACACATTTATGACCAAATTTCATCCACCTGACAACAAAGGCCTTCAGTGTCAAACTGTTTACAGTTTGGTTATTTTCAGGTAGTAGTGCCAGGGAAGCAGAGGATTCTAATCAATCAATTGAGGCCACAGAGCTAAGCTTGTTAACTTGCAATTATCCCTTAGTGAAGCACTTGATGAAAACCAGCTCGGGAAGAGATAGCTTATTTAAGCAATTACCCCACCCTGCACAAATGGGCAACAATAAAAGAAAAAAAAATGGCTCAGGTACAGGACACTGAATGGTTGGCTGCAACCAATGATTTTTGTCTCTGGCTCTCTCTGGCTTTGGTTCTTTGTCTATCTCTATCTTCTCTCTCTCTAGCTTAGCGATCATTTCACTTCTGATTTAAGAAACAGCATACCATCTTTTGGAAATGTGCTCCAAATATAATTCTTTCTCCAGTGCAAAGTGGAGGAGAATAAGTGCTGCAGGCATCTTTAATACAGCGCTTCTGTCTATATCCAGTGCCCATAGCACATGCAATTGATTGAGCCTGAATCTGTAACTTTCCATTCAGACCCAAACAATCCTTGGGCACTAGACAGAGCCTTGACCAGTCTGGAGTTGATACATATATATATACTATAGCCTGTGAAAGTAGGAAGTCATAAAATTTAGACTTTATGTTATGTTCCAGTGAATGGGCCTAAAGTTTTGGGAACAAATATGCAATATTCTAAATGAAGAATTAGTGACATGTCTGTTTGGTGACATAAATGAAGGGTAACAAAGTACAATAAAAGAGTTCAGAAAAAAATGGGAAGAAGAAAGCAGAACTGCTTAATTTTTTTGTACCTGTCTTTATTTAAAAGGAAAAAATTGTCCAATTTGACAAAGACAGCTTAGTAACACAAGTCAAAAAAGTCAAGAGAACATATATCTACTCTAAATGAGTTGAAAGCACCAGGACCAGATGTATTCTTCAGGACCAGGGTTCTGAAGGAGCTGACAGACATGATCTTGGAATCGTTGAAGCATATCTTTCAAAAATTGAGCACTCGGGAAATACCAGAGGACTGGAAAGGAGCTGATGTGGATCATCACAAAAGGAAATTAATCTTTTAAAAAGAGGGAAAACATCAGTACCTGGGAGGATACTAGAAAAGATAATCAAGCAACACATCAGCACATAACTAGAAATAAGCAAAGTTGTTACTAGAAGCTAACATGTCAAAAACAGATTATGCCAGACAAATCTTATTGAATTTGTCCAATGAGACAAATTGTTGTCTTATAATAATGAGTGGACCAGTGAAATGTTGTGGACGTAATATACTTGGACTTCAGTAAGGCATTTGACAAGGTGCACCACAGTCTACTTCTTGGTAGGATAGAAAAATGAGGGCTAGACAGCATCACCACCAGATAGATTCATAACCAGCTGACCAATCACACTTAATGTATAATTCTCAATGGAACTATATCTACAAGGTTCTGTCCAAAGCCCAGTACTCTTCAACATTTTCATAATGAGTTAAATGAAGGGATAGAAAGGGAATTCATGAGAATTGCAGATAACACTAAACTGGGGCAACACTGAAAAAGATAAGTTTAATATCCAGAAGGATCTTTGACGGATTTGAACTATCCAACAAAAAGCAATTCAGTGGTGAAAAAAAGTTGCACTCTTGCACTTAGGCAAGAAAAACCAAATGTACAGGTCTCAAATAGGTAGTACCTGGTTCAATAGCAGTGACTCTGATCAGAGTTAGATATCTAGGAGTCCTAGTGGAAATTAAGTATGAACTAGCAATGTGTTACAGCTGGCAAAAAAGCCAATACAGTTCTAGACTGCATCAACAGAGGGATAGTATCAATATCATGCTAAGTATTAGTACCATACTTGGAATACTGCATCTGGTTTTGGTTACTACAATACAAAACAGATGTTGAGACTAGAAAGTGCAGAGAAGAGCAACGAAGATGATTAGGTGACTGGAGGCTAAAACATAGAATGAACAGTTGTGAGAACTGGGTATGTCTGGGTATGTACCTCTAGAAGGACTAGAGGTAATATGAAAGTAATCTTCCAGTATATGAGGGGTTGTCACAGAAAAAAGGGGGTTATCTTATTTTCCAATGCACCAGATTAGAAATAACAGATATAAGTTTATCAAAGAGAGATCAAACCTAGACTTATGGAGAAATTTCCTGTCAGTGAGAACAGTAATTCAGTGGAACAGCTTGCTCCAGAAATTATGGGTGCTCCATCACTGTAGGTTTTTAAGAAGAGATTGGATATTATCCAGAATGGTATAGGGTATGAGCAGTGCATTGGACTAGAAGACCTTCAGGATTCCTTCCAATTCTGTTATTCTCTTACTGTAAAACATATAAGGGCTGGGTTATATAATTAGCAGATACTTGAATCTGTTATCAGTGTGAGGGTCAACACTTATATTTACCATTTAAGATGTGTTAAGCTAGTTATGTTGTTTTGAAACATACCTGATCTTACCTGAATGTGAGTTTCAAACATAATATACTCTCACTTGTATTTTATGTTCTAGGTTAGGATAGATGAATATGATTATTCTAAACCAATTCCAGGACAGCAGAAGAAACCATTTGAGCAGCATTGGAGAAAACACACACTTTCTCATGTAGATGTGAAGACCGGGAAGGTATAAAACATTTCCTTAATTTTAATATTTATTTAGTTGTATACTACTTCTAGTAACACAGGTCTTGAAAGGAATGATTAAATAAATTATTAGAAATAATAGAGAATATTGTGCTTGAAGGATTTATATGTATGTCTTGCTTTTCCTTGAGGAATCGGAGCCTCAATTATGTCTTTTCCCATCTTTCCTTTGGTTTGGTTTGGTTTGTTTTTTTTTTGAATAGTGAGGTATCCCTAGTAGAGAAGGTATAAGCTAAAGGTCACTATGTGAACTTCCTTGCATAATTGGGTCTGGACCAGGAATTAGCAACCACATAGGGCAGTGGTCCCCAACCTTTTGGGTGCCAGGGACCAATTTTATGGAAAGCGGTTTTTCTACAGACTGAAGGGCATGGTTTTGCACACTGCCTGGATTTTACTCGTGCACGGATGGAGCTTCGCTGACTTTCACAGCCCTGTTCTGTCTGCGGCCCAGGGGTTGAGCATCCCTGACATAGATAATAGAGGCCATGTCTGAAGGCAGAGGGCAAGCTGATTTCTTCCTTTGCATCAGATGAATACACTGATATTGGAAGTATTTGTAATAGAATTATAAACATGAATTCTGTTTTAGGACCACAGTAGGTCAGATAAATATACAGGTAGTCCTCACTTAATATGCATTCGGTCAGGAACCATTCAAAGTTACAACTGGTATTCAAAGTTATGGCTGTTGTAGCACCTGCTTGATAATGGGGTCAAAATTTGGGCATTTGGCAATCAACCCACATTTATAATCACTGTGTGCATTCAATGCTTCCAATCCACCTATTCTTCCCCATGTCTACTTTGCAATCTGCCTCTGTCAACCTTTGCAATCCCAGCTGACCTTCATTGTCTTCTTGTTCCCACTGTTGGCCCAGGATCCAGGTCCTGGGCACACCTCCGGAACATTTGGAAAGAAGCCTTGCTTGCTGAAGAAAGGTTGCTGGGCCCAGATGGGTAGGAGATGGGACAGAGCCAGCAACTTGTATAAGGCAGGAAAAGTGGGAAGTCCTCACGTAACAATTGTACTTTTCTTTATCTAATAACTAGACTGAGGTGACTGGAACGCCAATCGCTAAGCAACATAGTTATGTAATGTGTCACCTAATAACTACCTTTTTAGCAACATAAATTTCAGTCCCAATTAAGGTAATTAATGAGGTCTACCTCTATTTCATATTGGGACTAAAAACTGTATGATTTGGGGTGACAAGCCAGATCCAGCCTATAGGCCATAGGTAACCAAACCCTAGTTTGGATCATCATTATATCAAAATTGTATATAATCTTGCCTATCTAAAGTCACCAATGTGGCTTACAATACAAATAGTCCTTGCTTAACAACTATAGTTGGGCTTCAAATTATAATTATAATTAATTGTAATTGTTAATCAGGTCACATGATATCACTTGATTTTACTACTATTACTATTGCCATAAAGTGAGTCACAATAGAGATATAGAGTAAGAAAATCTAGTCATTAAGATGATCCATTCTCCTGAATGGGCATTTTTGTTGGAAAACAGCAAAATAGCCCATTGAATATTGCAGTCATATGACTTAGACTCTGCAGCCAGTCGTGAATGCAAGCCAATTGCCAATTGCCAAGCACTCTAAGTACTATCATGTGGCTGCAGGGGGATGGGTGCAGCGATTGTAACTTTGAGGATGGGTTGTAAGTAACTTTTTGTTGTCCATTATAATTTTGATCAATAAATGACCAGTCATTAAGTGAGGACTACCTGTACTCCTACCCTTACTTTAAATTTCTAATAAATAATAATTTCTAATACAGTGGTACCTCAGTACTTAACTGCTTCAAAACTTTGATACGCAAAACATTTTCATGTGAAAATGTCCTAGTATTCAAGAGTATTTTGGTAATCAACACACTGCAAAAGGAAGTGGGTGACAGCCGCAAAGGGTGGACAAGAAATTGACCATGCTGGAAAAGTCACTGATATAGGAAAAAGGACAGATAAGAAGTCCTTTCCAGCCAAAACAAAGGGTCACGTAAGTGGCATGTTTTGTTTGATACTCATCCTTTTTAGTACTCATGCCTCCCAGAACCAATTAAGGACGAGTACTGTGGTACCACTGTATGTGATTCTTGGATATTTGCTTGATGAGGAAATTAAAATCTAATCTAGTAGGACAGAATATTGGGATAAAAGCCTTTTTATTCATTCTGCAGGAGGTTAAATAAAACCTTTTGGTTCTGCTTAGATGGTATTTATTAAAAGGACTGATCCTAAGTGAACAGCATCTTACGTATTTTTGACTCCATGCAAGTAGAGATAGTTGTAGAAGTATCTTGGTTTGACTTCAATAGTCTCAATGCTTTACTAAGCCACTTTATAGCATCGGTAAAACTTACATTGGTGTATGATCTGCAAACTGAAGGTTCACAAAAGGTTGAATATGACTTGAAGTTTGAATTAAAATTTTGCTATATAACAATTTGTGCTACTTAATTACAAAAGTAAAAAATACAATTTTAGCATGAATGTGGCAATATTATAGACCTGATTTCTTTTGTAGAATGTTTTTCACATAAATAAAATTTAAATACTTATGGTAATATATCATAATAATTTGTAAATTTATTAATATCAATGTAAATCATAAAATTAGAATTTTGACAAGGTAAATGAGAGATGAAGTATTAATAGTACTTTATTAATGATGAATCTTTATTTTTTTAAAGGTTTCACTGGATTATAGACCTGTAATAGATAAAACCCTGAATGAAGAAGATTGTGCTGCAGTTCCACCAGCCATTCGGTCTTATTAGTTATTTTGATTTAAATGTTTGCTTTTAATGCATATGCAAACATACCAGGCAAACGTTATCCATTGTAGTAGATAAAAATAGCATGTTAATTTAAACCTTTCAAAATCCAAAATCTGCTCTAATTTTTTATGCTTCATGTGTGAGAAAACTGAGTTTTGAGACATGAACTATATATTGCAATATCAAAATATTCTTGCATGCGAGTCAGTTTCTAATTTTTTCAGGACACTAGGAATCTGCTTATTGTTGCATACATTATTTTCATTCACCTGTAATAAATTTCTAGTGTGTTATATTAAGAAACTATACGTATGTGATGGAAATGAGGGGCTTTTATTGAATGTAAACGCACCATCAAGACCAGCAATGTAGAGTATCATTTAATAGATTGATTTGTGCTTACAGAAATTTATTACTGCATTGTAACTTTTAGTAACTGCATGACATTTAAAAATATAATTGCTGCAGTCATTATGATTATGAATGTTATTTCAAATGGGTTTTTCTTGATTGTTACAAGCACTTAAACTACTTTATCCTTTTCATTTTAGTGAGGTATTGAATTAAAATGGGTGTTTTTGAAAAAAAAATCTCAGGTCAGTAAGATAAATAAAGATAAATTGATAACTATTGGGTCAGATCTGCCATCTTCAGCTTATATGCTTTGCTGGCTTCTTTGCTGGCTAGGGAGAGAAGAGGGGGCAATGGAATGTAGAGAGTAGCGATGAGCAGGAAGAGGGGGTGACAGCTCTGATAGAAACAGAAGTGTGAGAATTGGCATGTTTAAGAACATCTGACCTGGAAAAAGAATGTGAAACTGCACCTGTTTACCAGTTTCAGGTATGGCTTGGTAGAAATAAAGGTATTTGCCTTTATTTAGAAATAAAGGTGTTCAGGTATTTGCCTCAATAAGCTTTACATTTTATTCAGCTGAATAAAAACATGCGCCTCAAAGCAAGATGGAACCTGAACACACAGTGACACTCATATTTCTATGTTTGCTAAATTATGTACTTCATCACCCAGAAAGGCTGGCACACTCTAGATAAGATAAAGAAGTACAGAAATATCCACAAGAGTACAGAAATAGTCATCCTTCTCCTTTGGAAGTCTTTCAAGGACATTGTGTGTCACTGATGTCCTGATGTCAGGAATGCTCTGGCCAATAAAAAGCATGTTCACAAGATGGTGATTCTCTGAGGCTTCCGGATAAAGTCACTGTCAAACTAGTTACTAAGTCTGCATTACTATTAATCTTCTCATCCATCCTATCACCCATCTTCTCCCACTTTTGACTATATGACTGTAACCTTGTTGCTGGTACCTTAAGATTTTTTTATATATATACATTTTTTTATTTTTTTCAGACACACAAACATAAAATACATAATTTCTGAACAGAGTATTGACCGAGTCAAAATTCATACAGCTTATTTTCTCCATATTTACTATATATATTCCAATTTCTGCCAATTATATATAATTGATATATAGTCAATATTAACATTCCCCCTCACCTCTTTCTCTTCACCTATCACAATTTTTTAATCTGTTGAAACCCTTTACTTTACGCAGTCATTAAACATTTTTTTTACATAATTTAACTTTTACATTTTAAATTTAAAAATAATTTTTTACAATTATTTCTTTAGTGTCAATTTTTCCCAAGGATGGACCACATTTTTTCTTATCTTACTACTTTATCCATTATTTGACTCTTAAATATATATTTCATTATATTTGTTTTACATCGTCTTTATCATTAATCATTTTACCATTTTAGCCAAAACAATACAATTCTTCCCATTTACTTTTATAACCCCCTTTTTCTGTTTCAAATTCATTCCAACTTTCCCCTTCAAATAATTTCTTTTTTTTTATAATTCAATTTTTACAGTCCCAGTATTGATGCAATTTCTTTACATTTTCAGGGTTACAAAATATATCTTATTCAAATACTATAATCAACAATATTACTTCTATCATAATTATTTATACAGCTGTTATTATATTTATATATAATTAAATAAATCCCTTCTAAATCATTTTATCTCAAATCCGTTATGTTGTCAGTTAAGTTCAATTTTAACAATCCCTATATTTTTAATTTTATTCATTTCTATTTCATTTAGATTTCAATATTTTAATCCTTTACATATATCCACCACCAGAAACAATACAATCCTTCACCTTTGTTTTTATGATTCTTTTTGTATAATTCAATTTTTACAATTCCATTAATTTCCCCTTAAATAAATCATTTTATATAATTTTGTTAATTTCCATTTCATTTACCAAATCACCTCTTATTCAAATAATATAGTCACCAATATTAATCCTAATTCTATTGTTAATACAATTATTACTTTACTATATTTCATATTACCCTTCCTCCTGTTCATTAATTACCTGTTTTAACCATTTTCTCCTGATCCATCTAATATACCACCCATTTTCTTTTTTTTTCTTTTTTTTCTTTTTCTTCTTTTTATAGTTATCCTCTCTTTTATTCTCTTCTGTTCTATTCCCCTTTTCTCTTACCTTCCTTGTTTCCCCATTGTTAATCCCAATGTAATCATTCAATTTTTCCCCTCTGAATTTTTTATTTTTAACATTGTTAATCCCAATGTAATCATAAAAAAAAATTCTTCCTAGATTACCGTATATTCTCAGATGATCTATTCCTCTTTTTTCCTCTGCTTCTTTCTAACCTTACTATTTTTAACAGTTAATCTCAGTGTGATCATTGAAATTATTATTCACTCTTTTATTCATTGCTCTTTAATTCAATGTAATCATTTATTTTTTTATCAGTGTCTTTGTCTTCAATAATATTTTAATTATTGAATTAATTAAATAATTAATTCAATTTTAAATCTTTAACAGGGCTTTTCTATTGTGGGCTTTTTAAAATTCTTTAATCTTCCTTTAAAGTTCAAAATTTTCCTTACAGTTTATATCCAACCTTGTTCCAAAAGTATTTTCTTTTGGGTTTCTTTTTCTTATAATAAATTTAGTCTCTCCAAATTCAGTATCCACATTTCAGATTTAAACATCAGACTCCATTTTGGGCTTCAGTGTTTTTTACTTCCACTTTATCTTTCCTCTGTCAATTAACTCCCCCTGAC